TGTGGAACGCAAGCGAGGAGAGGCAGAAACATAGTGATGATAAAAGCATGTACCATGCGTTCCACGTCTGTGGAACGCATGGTACATGCTTTTATCATCACTATGTTTCTGCCTCTCCTCGCTTGCGTTCCACATGTGGAACGCATAGAACTCCACCGCCCGGTCACGCCGCGTCATTTCCGGTATGACGCGTGCGTTCCACCGGTGGCTAACATCATCCATATCCTCCTATTTTCTATTGGCTAAAATGGCGCCGCGTCACTTCCGGTATGACGCGCGCGCGAAAACCAGGAAACAGTAAGTAATTTTTAACACATGAAGACAATTGTTTTAAATTTTATTTCTTATATATTTGGACATTATAAGGACTTTATCCACACTTCTGAAGAAGCCTCTACAGGTGAAACGCGTAAAGTGGATTTTTTATGGACTTTCTCATTGAGTGTATCTCATTTGTTTTTATTACTTTCAATAAACAGTTACCATTTTATATATTTTTATCACTCTGAGACATCCATTATTATATACTTCTTTTTTTTCCTGGTTACCATTTTATTCCTTGGTGGGGATTATACCACCTATACGCTGTAAACTAGAGCGAGGCACGCTCTAGTAAATGTGAGTATGATACTTTACATTTTATTCCTTATTTTAAGTGATTTTAATACATACTACACTATGTGGATTCCCTTGTCTATCTGCATGTTCTTTATTTGAGACCTTCAAGACGTGGACCACTTTACATTTATCCTAAGACGGGGATTGTTCCGTCCATGCTCATGAACAGCAGAGCTCTGTTTCTAGCTCTGTTATATGTGAGTGTACATCTATTTACTCTTTGTTCACTTACGGAATACCATCAGTACTACACTATTATTTGTATATCTCTTTTTTCTTTTTGAGGTACATCATTGCAAGTGTATGGCCATAAGGACTTGAGTACGTATTTACGTATCACAATAAGGGCGCGGTTTCCTTTTTTCTTTGTTTACTACTGTTTTGTCACAAGGCTGGGAATCCCTGTGTGGTTACTGCTGCCCACTCCCTATTCTCTCCATCACTATAGTGAGCGCCTAAATTATTTTTATCCTTTCATGTTTGAGTTTCGCCTAAGGCCTCACAAAGTCTAGAGCCGCCACTGTTTGGTACGTTAAGTCCGGCCATTCTAAGGCCCAGTAAGACGTTACCTTCTAGTCCTAGGTGTGATACAATTCTACGTGCTGGATCATTTAGTAATCCTGACATTACGACAGGGCGATAGATCCTGTACAATTGTGTCAGCATATAACAGCTTGTGAGAGAAAGCTAGAGGAGAATGAACACTGTATTAATCAATTTACCAAGGCTTTCAGTACGCTTCTTACCCGAACAGCACATCTACAACCTGAGGCTTCTCCGACTATGTCTCCAACACCTATTGTACATAAGGCACCTACTATCTCCTTATCTACTCCCCCGCATTTTGATGGTAATATTTCTGAATCAAATTGAGTATCATTTTGAGGCCTCCCCGGGATCTTTTCCCTCAGATGGAGCTAAGATTGGTTACCTAATGAACCAACTTAAAGGTAAAGCCTTAGCTTTGGCCAATCTGTTATGGGAGAGTAATAGGAGTATTGCACATAATTACCAGGAATTCATTGCGAAATTCAAATTAACATTCAAACCATTAGGCAGGGAGGATGACGCCTCCACTGCCCTAATGCATATCAAACAAGGGAACCGGTCTATCTCAGATTATGCCATAGAATATCACGCCTTGGCTTCTGAGGTAGACTAGACTAATAACGGGTTAATCTCTGCATTTAAAAAAGGATTATCTGAAGCAATTCTGGATGAGATTGCTGCCAAGGATCTACCTGAAAAATTAAATGACTTAATCACATTTGTTATGCAAATTGATAATAGATTAAGAACCAGAGAAATTACCAGAAACAGAACTAGATGTATAACTATGTCATGGGCACCTCGTTTCTCCAGACCTGTTGTTCCTGACCTCCCTACACAGTCCAAACCCGAATTTATGCAGTTAAGGGTCACTAGACTGTCAGAGGCAGAAAGACAATATAGGAGAAAAGAGGGTCTATGACTATACTGCGGTAGAAAAGGGACACATGAGGAGTGCTTGTCCCATACATTCGGAAAACTTTCGCACCTAAGAACCTTAAGGGGACAGGTCTTAGGTGTGATGGATACGTCCTCTGGTAACAACCAAAATAGGTTTCTCCTTGATATTATGGTCCTGTGTAACAAAAATAACTTTTCATGCAAAGCTCTGATGGACTCAGCAGGAAACATCATTGACATACATTTTGTTAAGAAACAGTTAATACCTTTCAAGAAGAGATCATCACCTCTTGTTGTTGTGGCTATTGACAGGAGACCTCTCTCTCAACCCTTGATTACCCATGAAACCTTGCCTATTAACATTTCTATTGGAGCTCTAAACAAGGAAGACATTACATTCCAGATAATTGCTTCTCCTTCTTGTTAGGATTTCCTTGGCTCACTAAGCATAATCCTCATATTGACTGGGCAAAGGGAGAAATACTGGAATGGGGTAAAGAATGTTCAGAGAGATGTGTATTACCCATTACCAAAAGAGTGGGCATTGTTACTTTACCCACTACTACGCCTCAGACTCCTGAGATTCCCATACAATACTAGGAGGTAAAGGAGGTATTCAGTAAGAATCAGACCAATATTCTACCTCCTCACAGATCATATGACTGCTCAATAAATCTGCTACCCGGCGCTATGCCGCCTAAGGGAGCAGTGTATGCCTTATCTCCACAGGAGAGTAGAATAATGGAAGAATACACTACCGATTCCCTAAGGGAGGGCCACATATGTAAAGCATCCTCGCCTGCTGGTGCAAGGTTTCTTTTTGTAACCAAAAAACGATGGTGAATTATGCCCATGCATTGACTACAGTCTATCTGGATGATATCCTTATTTATTCCTCTGACCTTCAGACGCACCACAAACATGTTAAACAAGAATTGCAAACTTTACTTAAGAATCAACTTTATTGTAAATTGGAAAAATGCATCTTTGATCAGACTGAAGTGCAATTTTTGGGGTATAACATTTTTGCCTCTGGTTTGTGGATGGACCCTCATAAACTAGAAGCTGTTCTACATTGGCCATTGCCCAATGGATTGGCTAGGCAACTCCAGGACCTTAATGTGCTTCTTGAGCCACTCCTTTGTTGCCTTGGCTGTCTGTTTTTGATCATTGTCATGCTGGAATACCCATCCACAACCCATTTTCAATGCCCTGGTTGAGGGAAGGAGGTTCTCACGCAAGATTTGACGATACATGGCTCCTTCCATCGTCTCTTTGATGTGGTGCAGTCGTCCTGTCCTCTTAGCAGAAAAACACCCCCAAAGTATAATGTTTCCACTTCCATGTTTGACGGTGGGGATGGTGTTCTTGGTGTCATATTCAGCATTCCTCCTCCTCCAAACACGGCGAGTTGAGTTGATGCCAAAGAGCTCGATTTTGGTCTCATCTGACCACAACACTTTCACCCAGTTCTCCTCTGAATCATTCAGATGTTCAGTGGCAAACTTCAGACAGGCCTGTACATGAGCTTTCTTGAGCAGGGGGACCTTGCGGGCGCTGCAGGATTTCAGTCCTTCATGGAGTAGAGTGTTACCAATTGTTTTCTTGGTGACTATGGTCCCAGCTGCCTTGAGATCATTAACAAGATCCTACCGTGTAGTTCTGGGATGATTCCGCACCATTCTTATGATCACTGAAACTCCACGAGGTGAGATCTTGCATTGAGCACCAGACCGAGGGAGACTGACAGTTATTTTGTGTTTCTTCCACTTGCGAACAATCGCATCAAGTGTTGTCACCTTCTCACCAAGCTGCATGGCGATGGTCTTGTAGCCCATTACAGCCTTATGTAGGTCTACAATCTTGTCCCTGACATCTTTGGACAGCTCTTTAGTCTTGGCCATGGTGCAGAGTTTGGAATCTGATTGATTGATTGCTTCTGTGGACAGGTGTCTTTTATACAGGTAAATAAACTGAGATTAGGAGCACTCCTTTTAAGAGAGTGCTGCTAATCTCAGCATGTTACCTGTATTAAAGACACCTGGAAGCCTGAAATCTTGCTGATTGATAGGGGATCAAATACTTATTTCACTCATTAACATACAAATCAATTTATAACTTTTTTGACATGCGTTTTTCTGGATTTTCGTTTTTTAGTTATTCTGTCTCTCACTATTAAAATACACCGGTCACCAAATAATTATAATAATACAAAACAATAATGTACACGCTGTGAAAGACAAATATGTAGCTCTAAAACACCTAAAAAAGTGGTATCCCTTACACCACTAAAAACATAATACAATACATACAGAGTTATAGGTGGAGCTGTGGAGTGTCTTGAACAATCTGGAAAATAAAATATATGCAGATGGCGTAGTATATCTATACAATATATAGCATATAGAAAATGAGAATAAAAGCACTCACAAGGATAGAGTCATACCGTCATATGACTCTAAAAGTATGTTCTCTTGGACCATTAGGGGGTTGTCCAAACCCTTCTTTTGTTGATTGCTTGTTATTTCTCCTGATGGTCTTCAATAAAGATGCCCAGTATACCAAGGATCTTTGAAAAATAATTCTTATTTATTTGTAAAATAAAATAACAAAATGGCAATATACTATACCAATAAATATTGGATGTAGATAGAGTCCAATAAAAAAGTCTATTTTCAACTTTTATAGACTTTTTTATTGGACTCTATCTACATCCAATATTTATTGGTATAGTATATTGCCATTTTGTTATTTTATTTTACAAATAAATAAGAATTATTTTTCAAATAAATAAAAAATAAAAAAAAATGTGAATGGGGAACAGTTGGGAATTAATAAGAGTATTGCAGATTTTAGGCTATATAGCACCATTTACAGTAACTTTAATAATAATTTTAATTGTCATATTATATTATACAAGGATGATTGAAATATCTATACTTATAAGATAAAGTAGATTATGAGGCCCAAAAGGTTAATCTCAGTCTAAGGATTGATCTCCTCGGGGGAATTATGTAGATGACAATGTGGCCTTTTTAC